TTCCAAGATGGGATTTGTTTGCAAGGAAGTAGTGTTAATCACATCCACACGTACCACGGATCCAACTTTCCTTTTTTTTTTTTTAGCTATTGCAGTCTCGATTGGTGTTTTTTTTTTTGTGTTCGCGAGTTCTACAACAGCGGCTTTTTCTTCGTCGTTCGCGATTTTAATATACTTTGTTGCTTTCTAGGGTTTGTGTGGTGACTGTGTGGTCGCTTTTTATGCATCTCAGAAAACGGTAATCTTTTTAGTTGAAGTTTGTGTGTTGAGAGGTGGTTCTCTACGTATTTTGTTGCTGTTTTTGTTTCTGAGGATTGTATACCCAGAAATTGTTTGATAAAATGCCTGGCTTTGAGGTGACTTCAAAAGAAGCTGGGTCTTCTCCTAGTCTGACTCCAGTATTGGTAGGTAGTAGTGATCACCATCCAGGCCTTTGTATTACGACTGTTAGGTTGGATGAGAAGAACTATATGGAGGGGGCTCAATCTGCTCGTATGTATATATCACTGGTCGTAGGATGATTGACCATATCGAAGGGACTATTATGTATCCCTCTAAGAGCGATTTCAAAGAATGGAGTGCAAATAATGCACTAGTTATGACGCGGTTATTGTAGTCCATGCAGCCACAAATCAGCAAAGTGTTTTTGTTCATGAAAACAGCTAAAGAGCTATGGACAGCTATGGAAGAGACGTATTCCTCGGTTGGTAATTTTGCAAAACTGTATGAACTCTAACAACAAATTTCAAGATTCAAGCAGGAAGGCCAAACTCTTGCTACATATTACCACACTCTACGTGGTAAATGAGAAGAGTTAGATCACTATCAAGACCACATACCTGTGTGTGCAACTGATGTTAAAGCATTTTATGCTATGGTAGAAAGGAATCGAATCTACAAGTTTTTGGGTGGTCTGCATCCAAGATACGTGCATGACAAGGTACAAGTGTTAGGCAGGTATCCAGCCCCTACTTCTGTTAGAGATATGTTTTCGTATATCCAGGCTGAGGAGAGTAGAATGAAGGCTTTGTCTGCACCTGTATACACTAAGCCTAAGCCAAAAGTACCATTGTCTGAGAGGTCTGCTCTTGCCACACAACAATGGAACAAGCCCAATCCTCCAAAAGGAGGGAAGCAGGATGACAAAAGCAAGTTGAGGTGTGATCACTGTGGGCATACGCGCCACACTAGGGAAACATGCTGGAATCTATACGGTCACCCTACTCTAACTCCTACTAATGTGAATGCTAGGCCAAGGCCTGGTCCATTTAGGGGGTTATCTACGGCACATACTGCAGAGCGTGAGACTTCTTCTACTGGTCATGCCTCCTCAGGGCCACCGAGTTCTTTGTCCGGGGCTGAACTTGATGCTCTCCAACATCTACTAGCACAACATTCCTCCGTCTCCACCTCTAACTTCGCTCAGACGGGTACCTTTCATTCGGCACATCAAGTTTCCACAATTATCTGGTGGACCACCCTGGATTATTGATTCAGGAGCCACTAATCACATGACTGGTATGGTGTCTGATTTTTCTTCGTACAGTTTATGTTCTGGTAAGGATAAGTTTAGAGTGGCTCATGGCACCTTCACCTCTATTGCGAGGAAAGGCATTGTTTCTACCTCTCCTAATCTTACCTTGTCCTCTGTTCTTTATGTCCCAAAGTTTACCAATAACCTCCTTTCTGTCAATCACATACAAAAGGCTTGAATTGTAGTGTAACCTTTTTTCCACCTCACTGTGTGTTTCAAGACTTGGACACGGGGTAGACGATTGGAAGTGAGGACAATGGCTTATATTTGCTAAACGCGAGGCCAACTTCTTATTATATTGCAAATCAATCTAGTGTAAGGAATAGTAATGTCAATAAAGATCTGTTAATGCAATGGCATAATAGACTAGGTCATTTACCTCTTCCTATTTTGGAGCATGTGCTTCCCCAGTTTGCTTCTGTTGAATCTTTTGAGTTAAATTGTGAAACATGCGTTCTTGCCAAACAATGTCGTGTTTCTTATCCTACTAGTATTAATAAAAATACAGCTCCTTTGCAACTTGTTCATTCTGATGTGTGGGGTCCTGAATCTACTTCGTTACTTGGTTTTCGTTCCTTTGTTGTGTTTGTTGATGACTTTAGTCGATATACTTGGCTTTATCTTATGAAAACCAAAGATGAAGTTCATTCCATTTTCAAAACCTTTCATAGGATGGTATGTACTCAGTTTCGTTGTCCCCTCAAAATCCTTCGATCTGATAATGGAGGAGAGTTTATGTATGGTGGTCTTGCCACCTTTTTTGCTGATAACGGGATTGTCCATCAAACCTCTTGGTTGATACACCACAACAGAAGGGTGTAGTTGAAAGAAAACACCATCATATTACGGAGGTGACCCGTTCTCTTCTAATTGGGATGGGAGTGCCTAAAAGTTATTGGGCTAATGCAACCTTAATAGCTACATACCTTATCAATCACATGCCTTCTAAGGTTCTTAGCTATCAATCCCCCTTCTCTGTCTTACACCATAACACTACCTTGTTTACTATCCCTCCGAAAGTGTTTGGTTGTGTTTGTTATGTTCACATTCATCATCGCAAAGACAAAATGGACCCTAAGGCAATCCGATGTGTCTTTCTTGGATACTCCACCACTCAGAAAGGGTATCGGTGTTATAACCCTACCACTCGTCGTGGCTTTGTCTCCATGGATGTTACATTCTTTGAGTCTGTTCCTTTCTTTTCCACTGCTCGGAATTCTCTATAGAAGGAAACTACTATACAGGTAGAAAATCCGTTATCCATTCAGAGGGAATTCCCCCTTCCTTTGTCTATTCCCATTTAGAGGGAGGTTCCCATTCAGGAGAAGCTTCTTACTGAGGTGTCAATGTCTAGTCCTCCTTACACAATTGATTTGCAGCAGGGAAAGCAGCCAATTGTCTACACTAGGAGGGCAAAACAAGTTATTGACTCACCCCAGGACCAAGAAGTCTTCCTCGATCCAGGTAATTCCTTAGTTGACATTGATACTCCTGATTCTTTTCCCAATAGCATTCCTGTTGATCTTGATGTCCCTATTGCCTATCGTAAGGGTGTTCGTAGTTGTACAAAGCATCTCATATCTCAGTTTGTATCCTATGATGCCTTATCTCCAACATATCGTGCTTTCACTTCGTGTATCTCCTCTGTATTTGTTCGTTCTAATGTTTCAAATGCTCTCAGTCAAACTCTATGGAAGAAAGCTATGCTTGAAGAAATAAAGGCCCTTGAGAAGAATAGTACTTGGGATATTATTCCATTACCTAGGGGAAAGAAACCAGTAGGCTGCAAATGGGTCTACACAATAAAGTACCATGCAAACAGAACAATTGAGAGATATAAAGCTCAATTAGTTGCAAAGGGCTTCACTCAGACCTATGGAATTGATTATCTGGAAACATTTGCTCCAGTTGCCAAGATGAACTCTATACGTGTTCTTCTTTCTTTGGCAGCTAATTTGAATTGGCCTTTACATCAACTAGATGTAAAGAATGCTTTCCTTCATGGTGACTTGGAGGAAGAGGTGTATACGACTATGCCACCAAGGTTTAAGCTTGCTAATGGTCAGAATTTAGTGTGCAAGCTAAATAAAGCTTTGTATGGGTTAAAACAGTCGCCACATGCTTGGTTTGAAAGGTTCAGTACTGCTGTGGAAAGAGGAGGGTACACACAGAGTCAGGCAGATCATACTCTCTTCATCAAGAAGCACCAGGGCTGCACCACTGCCCTTATTATATATGTTGATGATACTGTTATCACTAGAAATCCAGAAGAGATTCATCGAATGAAGTCATTCTTGGGGACAGAGTTCGAGGTTAAAGACCTCAGATCATTGAGATACTTTCTTGGCATCGAGGTGTACAGATCGAAAAAAAGGGTGTTCATTTCTCAACGGAAGTATATGTTAGATTTGTTGGCTGAAATAGGCAGGCTTGGAGCTAGACCTATTGATATTCCCATTGAGCAAAATCATAGGCTTAATGAGGTAGATGGAGACCCATTAGATGATGTGGAAAGATTTCAGTGATTGGTTGGGAGACTGATTTACTTATCTCTCACGCGCCCGGATATTGCCTATGCTATTAGTGCGATTAGTCAATTTATACATGCTCCGCATACACCTCACCTTAAGGCAGCTCATCATGTTCTTCGCTACCTCAAGGGTTCACCTGGTAAGGGGATACTGTTTGGCAATCATGGCCACTTGCATGTTGAAGCCTATACTGATGCTGATTGGGCAGGGTCTGTGACAGATCTACGATCTACTTCAGGACATTGCACATTTGTTGGAGGTAATCTTCTTTCATAGCGAAGCAGGAAACAGTCTGACGTAGCTAAATCTAGTGCAGAGGCTGAGTTCAGATCCATGGCACATGAAGTTTGTGAGTTGTTATGGCTACGTACGATGTTGGGTGAGTTATCCTGTTCGCGAGTCAATGAAGTTGTATTGTGACAACAAGACTGTTATTAGCATTGCCCACAATCCAGTTTAACATGACAAGACAAAGCACATTGAAGTCGATCCACACTTCATCAAGGAAAAGCTTTGTCTTGAGCTTATTTATACTCTATACGTCAATACACATGATCAGATTGCTGATGTTTTGACTAAGGGTGTGAGCAAGACTTGCTTGCAAAATATGTTAATCAAGCTGGGCATAATAGATATCTTTGCACTAGCTTGAGGGGGAGTGTTGTCAGGAGCTTATTTGTTATTACTTATATAATGTTGGGGCTTATGTGTAATTTCTGAAACTTGTTATTATAAATAGAATGTGGTGGAAGGATGAAAGTATTCTTTCATTCTTTCTCTCTTTCCCCATCTCTCTCTCTTTTTCTCTCATCCGCTTTCTTCTCTTTTTCTTCTTCTTATTTATCACTTGCTTTTGATTTGATAATATCTTAAAAGTCAACAATAACTAGCTTAAAATTAAATAAATAAATAAGCAAGAGATTTCCAGGGAAAACCTTCAGAAGTGCAATGAAACCAGGAGATCGATAAAATGCGGAAAGCATGAACTCTAAGAGCCTTTTTTGAACCTACAAACAGATATAATATGTAAAAGAAGTCCCTCGATAAGAAAAAGCTATATAAGTCCCAATTAATCATGAACATTTCAAGCACCGAAAGATATTCAATATCTAGATAGAATACAAAATCAAGGAATTTTTATATATATAGTTGCATAAAATGATTGTTCATGGTATGCCCAATGATCTTTCATATAATAAGAGATAAAAGAATTGGCGTTTTCTTTTATTTTCGATAGCTTTAATTGGCATGATAAACAAAAGAAAGGAGGGAAGAAAGAAAAAAGGATCGGAGGGTGACAGTATTTAGTGAAGCAGCATGTTCAATGCAAGCCACATTTATATGACCAGAGCTGTGTGCTCTATTATGATATAACTTATTAAATCTACGCTGGTAATCTAAAAAACTATTGTTTTCCTTTTCCTGATAATGCCGAGTTATATTTCAAAGAAAAGAAGTACTTAAGTGCATAGCAGAAAATTTAACCAGTGCAATCTATATAAACACAACATATTGCAAGAGGTTTATATGCAATACCCAATGGATAAATTCTTTACATAAAAAAAATAATCTACTAATAAACAAATTGGGATGGTCCCCTAAAAAAATATGATTTCCAGGCCTCAAGCATTAAATCCAATTTAATATTGGAGTATCATCAGATCTATTTCTCTGTATATCATAATAGTCCTTTTGCTAGTCAAAACCTAAGAGGAACGCGAACAGATATCAGAAAGGTAAACTTAAATTCTTTCTGAAGACATTTAATTACCTCATAAGTGAAAATTTTATCTGGAAATAGCGTGGCATTTCTCGCCATAAGTAGGGGAATCAATGCACAAATTAAGGCTGCAATAAAAAATGAATTTCAAAGTGTCATCCAGAGCACAGTGCATTTGATTAGTTATTTTAAATATACATCTGCAGAAAAGCCAGTGTCCTCTACAATGAAAAAAAAATAATCTCATGAACTAACCCAAAAAAGAATGGTCTCATGCAAATAACAAGATTGAAGATAGTGATCTACATACAATCATTAACATCGCGCAGTGCTATAGCAAAATACACATCAAGAAGGCGAGGTGTCATATTGAGTGCTTGTTTCAGTCTGTTGGACTGAGGAGCATTAGTTGCAGCCTGCAGTGCTGCAGCCATCCCAGGAGTAGTCCAATGGCGTTCCTGAAACACCAATAAGATTGTAAATCACCCATTTCAACCATTCAGTTCAGAAGAAGTTTTGGGTTTTGGCCTACTCAAACCGAGAGCCAAAATCTATATTTATATATATATATATATATAAAATAATAAAAAAATAATAAATAAAAGAAATGAAGGAAAATGTATCACAGGGAACTGAAGGAAACAACAGAGACAAAAAGGAAGGAGAAAAAGTAAATTGTAAGGACCAATGCCCCTTCCCAATGGAAAAAATAAAAATAAAAAATACAGAGAGAAAAAGAAAGGGGGCAAACAAGTAAGTATTGATTCCACTTAATTGTAAGGCATAATTTAGTTATATTTGTATTTCTCAGAGATGAACAACAGTATCACTCATGATATTATTATTTGGACCCTAAAAAATCAACATCGGGATAAAGACAAGGAAGTGACTGTAGCACCATACAGAAAGACCGTCATTCTCATCCTTAAGAAGCTCAAGAAACAGTGGATCCGCTACAGCCATTGTATTGCTATCCTCAGATTCAGAGTCAGCTCCCCCATCCCCTATGGTTGAACCAGTGTATGCTTCATCCATGAGTGCAAGTAGCATCTGCATCCAGCAAGGAGTGTTCTTGATCATCTTATATATGCTAAATTTTCACTGGAGTCTTGTACATTCAGAAGTTCAAAAAAAGACCTCAGGAGCCGTACTCTTCTGGATTGAAGCTATGCCGCTGCCAATTAGGGATCCGGAGCTCCGTTCCACCTTTTCCATTGCCACTACCAATACTAGCATGGATGAAAACAGAAGATGTCAAAATGACATTATTAACTAAGGAAATAAAAAAAATAAAAATAAAAATTTTGATTCATCACGAGGAAGCTAATGCCCATAGATTATTTTTTCAAAATCAAGCTCAAAAAATATATATATTAAACGACCAATTTTGACTAATGTGCAATATTAACATTGAAAGCCATATAAATAACAGAAATATTTTGTACACACATCTCTACTGCAAAGAATCAGAGGTAGAAGTGCTATCTTAAGTTCCTAACACAACATACATTTGGCAAGAACCCAAAAACTGCTCATTTTAACACAAACAGAGGCGCTTCCCAACTCATGTTTAAGAAATATTAAGCAGGTTTCAAATAAAGCTTATAAAACAGGAGAAATCTGAATTAAAATTTTGTTTGCTTCATCCATGTCATTAAGTCCAGAAGTTATTCTAACTACCCAAATATTGATCCCAGAGAATGACACGGGAAATATAACGAGACCAAATTTGCTATTGTTCCCCGGCAAGTAATTCACAAGCACAACATTCCATTGATTTTAATCAGTTTCTAATTCTTTTCCTTTTTAAATCAGGCTGTGCTAAATCTCTGAAGCATATGAATGATGAGTGAAGGTTATGATTGTGAAATTCTTGTCCGCACATCTGAACTGCCCCGGTTATGATTGTGAACTTCTTATCCGCACATCCGAACTGCCCATAAGGTGGTACAATACATTACACCATATGTGCACAAACTAGGTTATTAGTGCATGTGTGTGTGTGCACGTACATAAGTATGTAAGTATGTGCATACGTATGTATGCACGTATGTTTTTATATATGTACGATACGTATGTATGTGCGTATGGTTTTATATATGTATGAATATATGGCTAAGTGACTTCAAAGTGGTCCGCAATTGTCACCATTAAGATGTCTTCAATTAGTGTACGGTCTAGAATCTAGATCAATGATGTCATATGTATGTGTTGTGTGTGTGTGTGTGTGTGTGTGTGTGTGTGTGTGTGTCTGCATGTATCCATGTGCGCATGTATGCCTCAACCACTTCACCTCCAAATTAGGGTTAGTGATGCCCACTTTCATTTAACTACAGTTGCAAACTCTTATCTTGAATATACCTTTCAAGTTCTACAAAAGGGTAAACAAAATCTCAAATATTCCTCCTCCAACCTTGTCCTGCAAATACTCTTGAGTTTTTTGTTGACTTTAAGATATATTCAAATCAAGAGTAAGTAATAAAGAATAAGAAGAAAAAGAGAAGAAAGCGGATGAGAGAAAAAGAGAGAGATGAGGAAAGAGAGAGAATGAAAAAGTACTTTCATCTTTCCACCACATTCTATTTATAATAACAAGTTTTAGAAATTACACATAAGCCCCAACATTATATAAGTAATAACAAATAAGCCCCTGACAACACTCCCCCTCAAGCTGGCGCAAAGATATCTATCATGCCCAACTTGATTAACATATTTTGCAAGCAAGTCTTGCTCACACCCTTAGTCAAAACATCAGCAACCTGATCATGTGTATTGACGTATGGAGTACAAATTAGCCCAAGACGAAGCTTTTCCTTGATGAAGTGTGGATCGACTTCAACGTGTTTTGTCCTGTCATGTTGAACTAGATTGTGGGCAATGCTAATAGTAGCCTTGTTATCACAATACAACTTCATTAACTCACAAATAGGATAAACCAACTCACCCAACATCGTACGTAGCCATAACAACTCACAAACTCCATGTGCCATGGATCTGAACTCAACCTCTGCACTAGATCTAGCCACTACAGACTGTTTCTTACTTCGCCATTAAACAAGATTACCTCCAATAATGGTTCAATATCCTGAAGTAAATTGTCGATCTATCACAGACCCTGCCCAATCAGCATTAGTATAGGCTTCAACATGCAAGTGCCATCACTGCCAAACAATATCCCCTTACCAAGTGAACCCTTGAAATAAACATGATGAGCTGCCTCAAGGTGAGGTGTACGTAGAGCATGCATAAATTGACTAATCACACTAACAGTATAGGCAATATCCGGGCACGTGAGAGATAAGTAAATCAGTCTCCTAACCAATCGCTGAAATCTTCCAACAGCATCTAATGGGTCTCCATCTACACCATTAAGCCTATAGTTCTGCTCAATGGGAATATCAATAGGTTTAGCTCCGAGCCTGCCTATTTCAGCCAACAAATCTAACACATACTTCCGTTGAGAAATGAACACCCCTTTCTTCGATCTGCAAACCTCGATGCCCAGAAAGTATCTCAATGATCCAAGGACTTTAATCTCGAACTCTGTCCCTAAGAATGACTTCATTCGACGAATCTCTTTGGGATCATTTCCAGAGATAACAATATCATCAACATATACAATAAGGGCAGTGGTGCAGCCTTGGTGCTTCTTAATGAAGAGAGTATGATCTGCCTGACTCTGTGTGTACCCTACTCTTTTCACAACAGTGGTGAACCTCTCAAACCAAGCATGTGGCGACTAGTTTAACACATACAAGGCTTTATTTAGCTTGCACACTAAATTCTAACCACTGGCAAGCTTAAACCCTAGTGGCATAGTCATATACACCTCTTCCTCCAAGTCACCGTGAAGGAAAGCACTCTTTACATCCAGCTGATGTAAGGGCCAATTCAAATTAGCTGCCAAAGAAAGAAGAACACGTATAGAGTTCATCTTGGCAACTGGAGCAAATGTTTCCAAATAATCAATTCCATAGGTCTGAGTGAAGCCCTTTGCAACTAACAGAACTTTATATCTCTCAATTGTTCCGTCTGCAAGATACTTTATTGTGTAGACCCATTTACAGCCTACTGGTTTCTTACCCCTAGGTAATGGAACAATATTCCAAGTACCATTCTTCTCAAGGGCAATCATTTCTTCAAGCATAGCTTTCTTCCATGGAGTTTGACTAGGAGCATCTGAAACACTAGAAGGAACAGATATAGAGGATATACACAAAGTGAAGGCACGATATGTTGGAGATAAGGCATCATAGGATACAAACTGGGATATAGGATGCTTTGTACAACTACGAACACCCTTACGATAGGCAATAGGGGCATCAAGATCAACAGGAATGCTATTTGGAAAAGAATCAGGAGCATCAATGTCAACTAAGGAATTACCTGGATCGAGGGAGACTTCTTGGTCCTGAGGTGAGTCAATAACTTGTTTTGCCCTCCTAGTGTAGACAATTGGCTGTTTTCCCTGCTGCAAATCATTAGTGTTAGGAGGACTAGACATAGGCAGTAAGAAGCTCCCCCCTGAATGGGAACAGGCAAAGGAAGGGAGCATTCCCTCTGAATGGACAACGGATTCTCTACCTGTATAGTAGTCTCCCCCTGTAGAGAATCCCAAGCAGGGAAAAAAAAAAAAAAAAAAGAAGAAGAAGAAGAAGAAGAAAGAAACAGACTCAAAGAATGTAACATCCATGGAGACAAAGCGATGATGAGTGGTAGGATTATAACACCGATACCCTTTCTGAGTGGCAGAGTATCCAAGAAAGACACATCGGATTGCCTTAGGGTCCATTTTGTCCTTGTGATGATGAATGTGAACAAAACAAACACAACCAAATACTTTCAGAGGTACAGTAAACAAGGCAGTGTCATGGTGTAAGACAGAGAAGGGGGATTGATAAGGTATGTAGAAGGCATGCGATTGATAAGGTATGTAGCTGTTAAGGTTGCGTCAGCCCAATAACTTTTAGGCATTCCCATCCCAATTAGAAGAGAACAGGTCACCTCCGTAATATAACGGTGTTTTCTTTCAGCTACACCGTTCTGTTCAGGTGTATCGACACAAGAGGTTTGATGGACATCCCATTATCAGCAATAAAGGAGGCAAGACCACCATACATAAACTCTCCTCCTTTATCAAATCGAAGGATTTTGAGAGGACAACCAAACTGAGTACATACCATCTTATTAAAGGTTTTAAAAATGAAATGAACTTCATCTTTGGTTTTCATAAGATAAAGATAAGTATATCAACTAAAGTCATCAACAAACACAACAAAGTAACGAAAATCAAGTAACGAAATAGTAGATTCAGAACCCGACGCATCAGAATGAACAAGCTGCAAAGGAGCTGTTTTTTTATTAATACTAGCATAGTTGTTAAAGGCTCAAGGCGCACTAAGGCGCCAAGGCATCCTGGAGCCTGAGGCGCAAGGCGAGGCGCGCGCCCAACTGAAGTGAGGCGCAAGTTGAGAAAAAAATTAAAAAAATGGCACAAAAGAAAATAACAAGCATTTTAATAGTTAACAAAGCAGGCATTTTCATTTTTCATAGTAATAAAAAAAGAAAAGAAAAAGAAAAAATAACATGCATTGTACAAATTAGTATGGAATAATTATTAAAGCAGAAAGCAGCAGAGCACAAAGCAAGTAAAAAAAAAATAATACAGAATAAGAAGCAAGAGAGAGAGAAGTGAGAACAGGAGGAAAAAGACAGAAGAAGAAGAGATGGAGAGAGAAGAGAAAAGAAGCAGCAGTAGAAGAACATAGAAAAAAAGTGGTAGGGTCCACCACTTAACATATGCCAGCAGAAGAGAAAAGAAGAAGCTACATGCTTGAGCCTATTCTTTTGTCTTTATATAACTTATAATAAGTGGTAGGGTCCATCCCTTAACATATGCAGCAGAGAAGAATAAAGAAGCAGCAGCAGAGCCCTATTCTTTTGTTTGCTTTACCTTTTTGGCTTTATATAACTTATAATAAGGGGTAGGGTCCACCACTTAACATATGCATACCAATTATATTAAAAGTCAAACCAACAATGAAAAGTCGCAACTCTTTAAATAACATAAAAACAAAGCCCTTCAAACAGGCGCGCCCCACATGCGCCTTGGGCCTATCGCCTTTAGCAAATAGGCGCGCGCCTATGCAAAGAGCCTCGCCTGGGTGCATGTAAGGCGCCAAAGCTGCGCCTTAATGCACCCGAGGCACATGCCTGGAACGCCTTTGAC